TGCCTGAGATATGCAATATATATATAGTTAATACATTAAACTTATTTAGCTTGGTTGATAGAGTACAAGATTCTTTATGTGGTGATTTTGTCAATTTTAAATATTTTATTTTTCAAATGTTTATTTAAAATAATAAATTAAAAAAGAAACTATTTTTAAAATCTTGCCATTATATAAAATATTAAATGAGTTACCTTTTACCATTATTACTATTTTTTTTGAATGAGACTATAAAGTTTAGAAAATACTTTGATTATATTAATTTGATCAAATTAGAATATAAAATTGTAGATTTATTTAAAAATAAATAAAATATAAATTTAACTCACTAATATTATATTATAGGAGAATATAAATACATTTCACACAAATTTTATGTATTTGCATATAATTATTTCAAAATAAATGCACAAAAAATTTGAAAATTTAATATTAGTGATATATTTACATAATTTAAAAATTTTAGTATACATAAACATATATAGATTATATAATTATTATTAATTAAATTGTTAAAAGCTTTGGTATTTTCACAGAACTGGAACCTGCAATTGCTCTGCCCTCATTCGATTCTGAAGCAAGATCAGTCCTACTCAGTCCGTCGCGACCAGAAGTTTGTGAATTTAATTTTTTTTTCTTAATCGTCTACTAGTAGATTGCTGGAAGTTCTCAAAGAATTGATTCTCATTCAAATGTTTTTTTCGTTTTTAGTAGGGTTTGTTCATGGAGAATGATGGAATTCTATTTTTCTGATGACTTTAAATTATTGTAGCAATATAGATCTTTCTTCATGAATGTTTGAAACTATTGAAGCAATTGTTTATCTTGTTTGTGTAGGTTAATAGATGTAATGGAGAACATGCAGTATGCTGAAGAACTTGTGAGGGAATTTATTGTTTTCAGGGGTTTTACTAATACTCTCCAAGTCTTTGAAAGAGAATTAGCAACTGATGTTGGTAGAAGCTTTCAAGTGGATAAAATCATAGAACTAGTTTTCTCTGTTTACGTTCCCAAATATCAAGCTGACAAATTAGTCAGTTTGCTGAGCTTTTTCAAACAATGTTTTTCGTCGTCATCGGATATGGGTTTTATATCCATGCTGTCAAAGCTTGAGTTGTCAATCCTGCGTTATTATATTGTTCATGCTCTGCAAACTGGAAGACAAGACAAAGTAGTGGAGTTTTTTGCTGAGAATGGGAATTATCTATTGCAGAGGCGTGAAGAATGGCTACCATGGTTTGGTAGGTTTTTTATTTTTTAAGAGTTATAGGTTACTATAATCTTTGTGCTTTCGTTTGAAATATTCTTGTGCAGCGCAGCTATTCCCTATCTTAAGAGCCCAAGTTTGGATCCTCAGTTTCGAGTTTATTTTTCAAAGGACTGGTTTGATGCCTTGCAACTTTCATTTCACAACATCTTAAGTGAGTTATTCAATGGGACTCATATCCTAAAAGCAATAATTAAAACTCGTTCTTTTTTCAACTACAGTTGAGTCAGCTATCTTAAAACTTTGCTAATTGAAAAATTCATCTTTTTGTAAGTTGCATCATTATATTCATCTTGAACCTTGGACCGAGTGTCATTGAATTAGTAACTTATATTATGATATATAAATTAAAATTTTTTGTTTTGTTGTGGCAGTTATATTACTTATTCATTATTAGATTTCCTTAATCAATTTACGTATCCCTGCTTTATTAAAGATAAGCACAGAAAAGAATACGATCAAGCGTCTTGAAACTGATATAAAGCAACTAAACCAGAAGCTATCACAACTTCAGGCTTTGTTAGAGACAAAGGAATCTGAGATTTTAAGATTGAGAAGGTAACACCATAGTTTTATGTTATTGGTTTCATTTTAGCGTACTTGACTCATATGTATGTTGTTATTTTTCTGCTTCTGTTTATTCGTTTTTATGCTTGAAGTCTCTTGGCGTGTTTTTTCTCTTGAGTTCAATTTGCAATACATGATTAAGAGTTTGATACCTTAGAGCTAGGTGGCTCCGGAAGATTGTTATGCTATATTGCCCATTGCATAAGTGTAATGCATGTGCAATTCCCTGCGTTTATTTTAGTTTTCTTCTCATGTTTCCATGCATGCCATTGCCAACTTACCCCTACATTTAAGGAGCATTTACATGCATACTACTCAATTCCTATGTATTTACATATCTAACATTAAAGTTTACTTTTTAAATTTATGCCGACCAAATGTTTCATATCACATAAAAAATACAGCTATTTTAACTTTTAAAAAGTGAAATGCACTTTTTTATGAATATGTAAGATGAAATATTTTTAAAAATTGAAGAGTTTAGCTGTTATACACATAAATACATACGAATTGAGTGATATATATGTAAATGTTCCTACATTAAATCATTGGCTTAGGCTGGACATTAGTCTTTTTTTTTTCCAGTTAATAGATAGTTTTTTGAACCTGATGTTGCTGATGTTGCTTTTTCATGTTAGTATTGCTGCAAATGTGCCTGAGATATGCAATCTTCAAGAGAGAAACTTTATTGATAGTCCATCACATGCGACCACATTGAAGGATATTGATAATAATCTCTTAAGAGAGGGCTGTCATGAAACTACTACCTCTAATGATCCCCATATTGGGGTAAGGAATTTTGCAAATGGAGGGGACTCCTTAATCTCTGCTAACACTTCTCAGGATCTGGCAGTTTCAAAATCGAATGTTTCTTCGATGTCCGTGAATAGACTGTCTTCTATAGATGTTGAAACACAGGACTCTTCGCAGATGCCTGTTTCAGGTTGGAATTTTTTTTACCGAAACAATATATTTTCTTTTCCTTCAGCTGATCTTTTGTAGCTGCACCTGTTACAGTTTACTTTGGTTTAATCCCTAAAAAAACATGAATGATATGGCTAGTCATCCCCCCCTTTTTTTTCTCCTTATATGATCATGTTGAATAAATTCATGCTGAAGTTTGAAAATGAAGTATTGCCAAATGTATTTAATTGATTAAAATTGATACAGAAATCAGGCAAGAAGTATTGAAGGAAGATGAGCTCCCCGAAGTTTCAGTTGAGTTTCAGGTAAATGAACTAGTTAAACTGCTAATTATGCTTTTTCATGTTTGTTTATAATTGATTGGTGCGTTCCTCTCTTAATATTCACATCTTTTTTCATGCTTTTACATTGACTTGTTTTTTGGTCTGTTTCTGGTTTACAGGATTAGGTTAACAAGGCTTTTAATTTACAGGAAACTTTTCTGGGGCATACAAATCCAATTTGTAGGTGTCGCTTTTCTGCTTCTGGTACTAATGTTGCTAGTGCTTCTGTAGATGGCACAGTTAGGTAATTTTGGATTTGTTTTAGCAGAACCTAAATTATTATTTTATTAGAAAAAATTTACATATGTAATATACAATTCTTATGTATTTACTTATTTTACTTATTTCACACCCAAACTTTCAAATTTACATACATTGCATTTTGGTACTTTAAACCTATGCATAAAAATGTGCATTTCATTTTTAAAAAGTGATAATAGTGCTATTTTTATGTGGTATTAAATATTTGAGTGTTATGTATATAAATATGGAAGTTTAGATGTGAGATATGTAAATACATAAGAATTTTGTGCTATGTATGTAAATGCCCCATTTTTTAATGCCACCAAAATTTTGTAGCATGTTATTTGCTAGGCTCGTTCCTGTAATTGAGCCTGTAATTGAGCTTTTATAGGATTTGGACTTATGGATCATCCACACCAGCATCAAAAAATGCAACTATATACTGTGGGGCTGAGATAATGTCACTTGAATGGGAATGCCGGTCTGACCGTTTGGTATTTTAACTCATGCAAATTACTGGTTTGTTTTATGCATTTTTTGTTATTCTTGATAAAGAGGATGCATAAAATTCATATTTTTTGTGTTTCTTTATTCTCTTGATGATAGCTACTCATTGGGACAGCTGATGGAGGTATCAAAGTCTGGAATGTTGATGCTAAGAGAGTTGTCTGTGATCTAAATACCACTCAAGAATTCCCAAGGTCCTCTTACAAGATAGTTTTGATCTTAAAATTCGAAAGAGAAAAGTGTTAAAATTGTCCTTACTTTTTATTTTAGTCCCAGATTTTATAAAGTGCCCATTTAGTCTTTAGTCTTTTATAAAATGACCTGAAATAATCCCACAAAGGACTATTTCAGCTCTAATTTAAAGAATCAGCGGACTAAATAGTTTCTTTTAGAGACTCTAGGACTAAAATGACTTCATGTAAAATCTCATGGGACCACTTTGTCACTTTACACAAATTTGAAGTTTTCCTTATCACTTTTGGCCTGCAATGCAGTGTCATCGATCTGAAGTGTAGTCCCGTGGAACCAATTTTTGTCTCAGCTGCTGCATCTAGGAGGTATTCATTTCACTAGCATTTTTCTTTATCTTCCATTTTGTTTTCTTGCCTCTTTATGAGCTTTTAACATTCCACATGGCTGTAACAACCAACAATAAACAATTTTTTGTGGGATGGCATTTTTCGCAGTCAATGTCATATATACATACATATATATATATATATATACATATATATATATCTATATATACATACATATATATATATATACATACATATATATATATCTATATATACATACATATATATATATATATATATATTATGTCTATTACCATTTCAATATCTCTCTACGTTCAGTGTAAGATGATTCTTATTGTTCGTACTTTTATAAACTACTTGTAGGCATGGTTTTAGTAGAATTGATCAAATGGGCTTTGCTTCTTTGACTGTTTGGAACATGAAAACTTGGAAAGCCATGGTAGAAATACTTTACGAAGTAATTTTTGCTGTCAATCAAATCAGATTGATAGGAAGAAGAGGAACTTGACCACTAATTTACATAGTTTTTTTTTCAGGCTACGCTACCTCTTGGCAAAGATCCACCAGCAATCACTTCACTAAGCTTCAATCACAATGGAAAGATTTTAGCAGCTTCTGCTACTGATGGAATGATTCACATGTTTGGTATCCTTTATATGCTCACATGTGAACAATTCTTTTGTTTTCATAAAATTTATATCCCTTATACTAACATTTGCGTTCATTTAGTTTATGCAAGACAATTTGGCGTTGAATATGATTATGCATTTATTGCAAGTTTTCTTGCAGTGAAGGTTCTCGTGCTAAGAGTATTTTGGTTTTCTTTTTTAAGTTTTAAATGCTAAGTATAGAGAAATGGCTTAGTTGATTCAATCATGTTAAAGGAAAGAATATATGTGAATGGAATTGGAAGGAAAAGGTACACCCACTCATATGCATTTTCTCCCTCGAAAATGGGCATCTTCAACTTCCTAACCTTAGTATCTCCACCCCAATTTCCTCTCCATCGGAAATCTATAATCCACACCCATCGGAGTCCTAGGGGGGAGTTCTTGATGGTGGATGCTTTCCTCCCTATATTCCTCGTGTTTGATCTCTTTTCCTTTTGATCTGACCACAAAATCTCCGGTCAACCCTTGTTTAGGGTTTACAAATTGAGTTGTCGATGGGGTCTTTGATTATTCATTATCATCTTCTCAAATCGGTTTTTCATGGAGGAAAATATATCGTCTATGAATGAAAAATTTCCTTCTATGGTGGAGAATCTTTTCTCTATCGCGGATTTAAGTTAGCTCACTTCTTCCTTCAAATTATTCCCCAAATTATTTATTTTCCTTGTTGTCTTCATTCCCTGATATGTTTTCGATCGCAAAAGGAAACATTATACGTTGAAATGTCATCGATGGCTTCGAGATAGTCTGAATCACGTTTGTATTGCCAGTCTATTTGATTTGATTTGACTGCACGCCGAAATGTGAACAGAAGAAAGATGAGAGTTTCGAGTCTCTGTCTTGAGCCCGTCATTGCTTCCTAGGCTCGATCCTGACTCTATCACACAAACAGACGTGGGAGGAGGAGAAATATGGGAGATTCAGGCCTCTCTAGTTTGTAATCCCGTTGGTACCTTCCCAGCTAGCTCTAATTGCAACTGTTGGAAGCGGGAGCAGATGAAAGATGGGAGTTATGGGACTCTGTTTCGATCACGAAGGAGATGTGCGATCCCTTCCTAGACTTCCCAGACCCGATCCAATTGTGACGGTATCATGACCATCTGCACGTTGTGATTTTCGTTGTTGCTTCCTGGTTAGCTCTAATTCCAACTGTATTGCAAGGTTTGGTGTCGAAGGCCACAGGCTCCTATATCCAACAATCCGTTCGTTGATTCCTCAGGAATCAATGACTTTGATACCAATTTGATATGATTCATTTTAAAAATCAGCACGAATTTTGTCAGAAATTAGGGCAAAACAATTTTTTTAATAATCCAAACAACTTAACACAAATACAAAGATTAACGCCTACAATTCGAGAGGTAGGGGATCTTTCCCAATTCTCACAAGTCGAGAGGTAGAAAATCTCTCTCAAACCGTAAACCTAAGACTCACAGACAATAATCTCATGCATACCCTAATTCGAAGCTATTAAACCTTATTTATACCCAACAACAACAACAATAATAATAATAAATCAATTTGGCCTTAGGCTAATAAAAGACAAAATTGCCCTTAGGCCGGTGCATAACATAATCTTACTCTTCCCCTCTCGGCTCTCAGTGTGGAACACACTTTAGGTTTTTCCACCACAATGACATAATTTTTTTTAGGCCTGATGACTACAAATTTAATTCTCTTGTCTCGAGAATTGTTCTTATACTAAAAAAATTCCTCCATTGTTTGAAACCATTACATAAACTCATATGGATCCATAGGACCATCAAAATCAAGTAAATTCACCTTTACTCCAAGATCTCTGCTTCTCTTCTAGTATTCTATATCAAATCGTCGGGGTCTTGGTTCTTCAATATTGGAAACTGCATAATGGAATGGACTCACATTCTCATCTCGATCTGATAAGTCACCATTGTTTCTATGGGTGATCTCAATTGATTGTGTCCCTTCCAAGGAAATGGAAGCTAGGATGGAGGGTTGGAATGGTGATAGAGGATGCGGTAGACTGTCGGGCTGCCAATTGAAGGTTGTCATGGACAGGGGGCATTGAGGAAAAGGGATTGGACAATGGGTCTGCAGGAGAATAGCAAAAGGGCTGCTTTTCGGGGGGCTTCATGGAGGAGGAATGCGTGGCAGTAAAGCATGAGAGATGCAGAGGAGTTGGGGAAGGGGAAACATCACCTGAAGATCAAGATACAATCGGACACCACGTGGAATCCTAGGATACAACACTCGAAGGGAAGAAAAGACGTTGGCAAATGCTCCGTACAAAACACGCAAAAATTGAACCTAAAACATCAAGAATACATATGTATAATAAGAGGATAACTAGGAGTGCTCAAGAGAATCAACCGACTCCTCAAAAGGGGGAAAACCTGAACCAGTTCGGTCCGGGTGAAGCAGCGGGTTGCGTGAAACCATCTGCATGCGGGACGCGATCTTACTTACTCTTGCGGTCGACCGTTGTCTTGCAGGAGATGATCCCGTGCCAGAACATACCTTGGAATGAGATTTAGCTGGAATGTGGTCGTAGAATGGCAAGGGAAACGTAAGCGCAAGTTCGACACGTTGAGAAGGAATTGTGGGGTTAAGTTTGTTGTTTGCTGTTGGACAGCAGGTTCGACGTTTTCGACGGCTATCCCTACTGCAAACAACAAAGAAAACTCTGAATCGACGACATTCGGGCGGCGAGAAGGTTCCACTAACTCTTCCTAAGCAAAATACAAATCCATCACTTATAAAAGGAAGAATACAACACTCTGGAGAGCAAAATTTTGAGAAACGTCTCTCAAATTCATAATCTTATTAAAACCGAAATCTAAATAGTTTAGTACACATATGTAAAAATCCCATAATAGAAGATTTTAACTAGGAACTTTGAGAAATAAGAAGGAAGAGAATACAGTACTTCGTGATAGCAAAATTCTAAGAAATCTCTCTCAAATTTATAAACTTAACAAAACTAAAATTCAAACAGTCCAGTACACATATATAAAAATCCCCTAACAGAAGATATCTAATAAGTAATTAGAGAAATAAGAAAATGATAAGGAAGGAAAGAAGCAAAGGAACAAACTTGCTGAAAATAAATAAAATACAAATAGGAAGGCTTGTTCAGTTAGCTGGACGTCCACGGTCATGGGAAGCTTAGTTTCATTTGCGTTTCCTGCTAAGCTCCCGCATCACTAAATGTGCAGAGTTGTAAGGCCTAAAATAATAAAACGAAAGCACTTAACTTGCCCATAAGATGAGTCTCATTCTTACATATCATAAATGGAGGAATACCTATTGATGTTCTTATTAGCCTCAGTATTAATCTGATGGAAAAAAAGACTAAAATGACAAATGGTGGATGCGCCATTGCACAATTTAGCTTGAGATTCAACGCCCACATCGAGATAATCAAATGTCATCTGTGAAGTACCAATGCATTTGAACATCTAAATTTTGTAAGAAGGATGTTCATATTATCCATCGTCCACTTGAGCGCGTAGGCACATAGGTGCTCGTATGAGGGTGTGTGTACATGTGTGTGTAATCAATAGATTGACTAGTATTTCACCAAATGTTGGATTTGGCACAAATTACCAGTTTGACTAACCAATTTATGATATATTTTATTGATAACGTGTAAGCACTTGAAATATTTTTTAGATTTGATTTTTGAGTAATTTAAAAACAATTTTGAGTAATTTGATATAGAAAATATTTCAATCTAGATTTAAACTTTAAAAAAACTTGACTGCCTTGAAAATGGTTCTATTTATCTCAAAATGCGTGCCAACCATTTTAAATTACGTGTCAACACATTTTGATAAAGTTTTGTGCTTAAAATAAATAGAAACTACATATATACCACACAATTCTTATGTATTTACTTATCTAAAATCTAAACATTTATATTTATATTTCTAATACTTTGATGTCATAAAACTACGCATGAAAATGGGTTTTTTTAACTTCTAAAATTTAACTAATAATGTTATTTTTGATGTGATATTAAAGGTTTGCGTGCTATTTATGTAAATATGAAAGTTTATGTTTTAGATATGTAAATACATAAGAATTGTCTAGTATGTATGTAAATGCTGGTAAATAAATTCTAGATTACAATTAAATGTATTAACATAGATTTTTTGTTGTAAGCAACTAAGTACCTATGAACTTCTACAACACACCTAAACGTGTGATCTATCTGTCTACAGCTCTGATGCATTTGTCTTGATCTATCTGATGTTCTTTAATGATTGATTTATGATCTAAATGGATGTGTGCACCATGCAATCAATAAAACTAATTGTTTACAGTTATTGATCCAGTCCGTCAGAATTACAATAGCGTAAATATTAGAACATCCTACGATGTGTTTCTTATCACCAAAATTAAGAGGATGAATATTGAGAGTTACTTGTCAGAAGGTTGAGTGATTATGTATCTTGAAGTTAATTTAGTATGTTCTGTATTTTGGATGTATACTAATTAAATTAATAGTAGAGGAGACAATAGATTTATTTATGATAATAAAAAATCTTAATGCTTGAATGGAATTCTTTAAAGACAAAAATTGGAACTAATGCAGAAACTGGGAAGACTCATATAAGTGGAATATAAACAATTTACCAAGAGAAATTTTATAAAACTAGGAAGGCAAGGTTAAAAATAATTAAACTAGAGAATGCTCATCAGCTTTAGTATAAAATTAGCGGAGGGCTTGGATTTTTATAACCGCGAAGGGGCACTGATGAGGACTAATGCTAAAATCAATATGATTTCCTGAAATAAAAAAAAAAACGAGTTAGGCCTAACTATCATGTTTACTAGATTTAGTAAACTAGATTTATGTAAACTAGATTTAGTAACAAGCGCAGGTACAAACAATTACAAATTGAGAGGAAATATTTAAAAAGATATTGAATTATGGCTCCTTTTAAATATCACTGGCCTGACCTGACCTGACCTGACCTTAACTTCTAATATAAAAAAGAACCTGTGGCGCATAGGTTGTGGCATTAAAATTTATGTCTATACATAGTTTTAAATCCTAAATTACTTCGTTTCATGATCAATTGAATCTAGCCTGTACGTTTATGCAGCCACTATGCCCAAAGTAAATGCAGGAAACTTGAAAGATCTTGCAAGATTCTACGTGAAAAAAATCTTCAAAGATTTTCAACGAACATGAAAGTGTTTCCATTTCACTTCCAGAAGAATTCAAGATACTTTTTTCTGACTAAAGTTGAAGTTCACATTCTTAAAACTCACCTTAAAAGATATATTAGTTTCAATTTCAGAAGTAGGAAGTCACAGTCATTAATTCTTTTACTATTAAGAATATTATAACAATATTAAATTAATGTAATGATGGGTTAGAATATATTTTACTTGGTAATAATAATATATTTAAAAGTTGTTATGTTAACAAGTAAAAATGAATGCATATTTGTAATTCAAGTACTTACAGCAACGAACTAATCTCATAAGATGTGAGTTCCTGCAAAATAAATAAATCTCATTGCAACTCACTTCGAAGGTCTCATTTTTGGAACTGCAATCTTAAACTCATACAATAAAACAAATTGGTCCTAGTTTGCCACCATAAATTGCATACACTTTAATTGCAGTTCTTATTAATTGCGGCTGTTTCGATGCCGTATGTATTCTACATGTCCATTCAATCAGTTGCAGTCTTTCAAAATTAAGAGATCTCTTGTTTAACTACTGCAAATGAGACATGAGTACTTAGGTGCTGTTTGAAATCACTTTTTAACTTTTTTTTTTTTTTGTTTGCTTTTAAATATATTTTTGTTTACTGCATTTTTCTCATATTTTTATTTTATTTTTTACACAAATCTACTTTATTTTAAAAAACACTTAAAACATCTAAAAAATGCTGAGTACTTTAAAAAATAGCTAACATGTTTAACATACAAAACATGCTTTATTTCAAATCAAAATGTAAACAAAATAAAATAAAATCAACGAATAAAGAACAAAGTTAACAAGATAAAAGTAATTATTTAATCAGCTCTAAAACATAGTTTTAGATATGTAGGCTAGTAGCAGTTGCAAGGCTTTTACTTTTAATTCTATCTCATAGGTAACAAGATATTGTGGAAAAATAATCGCTGTTCTATGACTCGCATTTCATTTGTTTTTTGTTCTATAATTATGCATTATGCATAAGTTACCCCGTTGATCCTCCAACAATTTCAACTTCCTTAATCAACTAAAGATATGTCTGCTTGTCTACAAATCACTGGATGGCCAGCTCATGATTCAGCTGTGAGCTCAGTTCTATTTGGACCCGATGAGACGAGCATATTTAGCTTGGGTTCTGATGGCAAGGCATGCAACATTGTATTTAATTTGCTGACTTCTTTCTCGATCAACTTCTAATCATTTGTTTACAGGAAAATGTCAAAAAAAGTTATATTTCTCAGTATTTCTTTTGCTAAGTTTATAAATCCGACCTTGTTTAATTGAAATCGCTTTTATTAGCATTTGATTGATATTTATATTTTTGGAGATTTATATTCATACCACTTTAAACATCTATGTTTACATATTGAATGCCAAAATTTCTTATTTACTTATATAGCATCAAAAAATCTTTTACACCTCAAAATACCAGTGTTACCTTCGTTCATTGCATTTGACACTTGACTCTGAGCAAAGTGGTAAATTTATATAGTTGGGTGACAGAAGGCAACAAAGTGATAATTTTGAGATCTTGAGTTTTAGGGGTTATGCAAGTAAAAAAGTAATTTTAGGTGTTATATACATAATTGTTGAAGAGATTCAAAACCTTCATCTCTGCTTAACGCACAGGAAATTCTAATCAACAGCTTTTTGTGATGTGCTCTACAAATGATATTCTTACGGAGCCATTATTATCGCTAGCACGATAAGCATTGTCCTTCTAAGCAGTGACAACGACAATCATTTTATGTGTTTGCAGATCTTTGAATGGAGCCTGCAGAACCAAGGCCAAGTTCTTTGGTCCAGAGATTGCAGCAGGTACGACATAGTTGAAGTTTAAGCTATATGATGCTACCAACATTATATTATATAATTTTTTTAGTGATAATTAAACACCTGTGATTTATCCGTGCGGCGATCAAATCATTGGGAAACTGGTAAAGATAAAAAAACATGGTTTAGTGTTTTAGTGTGAATTTTGATATTTTAGTGAGAATCTAAAAAATAGATGAAATAGGGTGCTAGTTTTGTAAATAGCATTGTTTTGAGTTGCTATGTATGTAATTGCCCCTTTTTTAAAACAATTTTTTAAAGAATAGCTGCAGAGTACATTTGGTTTGATTATTGAAAATTTAACCATTTGGTTTGATTATTGAAAATTTAATATTTGGTTTGATTATTGAAAATTTTAAGCGATCAAATCTTTAATTATCATTGTTGGCCATATCACACTTAACTGTTTCGTGCTTTTGTCATCCCATTCTCCATTTTTTCTTATGAATAGTTGCATAAGATGTTGAAATCTTTTTACAAACTTCATCCAATTGATGTTTTTTATTCGTTCCTTTTAATCTTTAGCTATTTGACACTGGTTTATAGCCCAAATTGTTTGTATTTATTTTTCACCTCCTTATCTTCAATAAATAATTCTTATTGATCTTTAATATTCTCATTTCCATCATACTCAACTTCTCTATCATTGCATTTTTACTTTTTTCCATACCCCGACTACTTGGTGGCGGATTCCGCATATGACCCTCACATCGCGGGTTCGATCCTCGGTAACGCAGGGCTCTCGAATATTCAGCACACAGGGCGGGTTCCCAGACCTGACGGGAGCTCGACCAAAGTTGTTGATATATATATATATATATAGATGCACGCACACACACACATATATATAAAATTTGATGAGTGAGTTATTTAATTCGATTGCTCTTTGAATAGGTTTTGCTATCCTGAGAGTGAGAAGATATGCAGGCATGAAATTGCTTTGGATTCAAATGGAAGGAGATTGCTAGTTACATCAGGCTCAGTTAGGTCCCCCATTTACCAGGTGCTTCTTCTCCACTTCATTTTGAACTCCTCTTCTTAGTAGCTCTATATTCTTAATCTTAATGATATGTAAAATCAGGTGAGAGATCAAACGAGGGACTTTAAGACGCTTCCTCATACTGCAGCAATAACTAGCGTTGATTGGCATCCTACACTTCCCATCTTCATAACCGGCTCTGCCGATCATTCTGTTAGAGTTACTTCAGTTCTATAGTGATAGTGATATTATTTGTGTCTGACTGTATTTGGGGTACAAATTTTATCCCAATTCTTTTGTTTGGTAGATGTTTGCACATTTTATATTTATTAAGTTATTGCAAATATCATCTATTTTATTAATTACTTCTAAGCATTTCAGTTTTTTTTAAAAACTTTTTTTAGGGAAAATTGCATACAGACCATCTAAAACAGTGATATTTACAAATTAATCACCGAACCGGTGTGCTTGTGCGTGCCATGATCAAACTATTGAGAATTTGATGAAAATGAAAAAAACTATGGGTTGGGGTTGTACCCTGAAATTTGAAAAATTAAATGAAAGTGTTTGTTATGTAATTAGCAAGTTTCGGATGGTCTTTATTATTATTGGTGACTCTGAGGGGAGTATTTAGAGAAGGCAGTTCAATATCTTCAAATTTCTCAAATATTATTGTATGTCATTATTTTATTTTATTTTATTTTTCATTCGTTGCATCTTTTCTCCTTAATAAATTATAAAAAAATTTGCAGAAATGTTTTATCAATTTTACATGAGTTTCTATAAAAAATAAATATTCAAGTAAGTGACATTTGCAAAAATTATGAAAATAATATTTTTAAA